ACCAAGATTTGTGCGCACACAAAAGCCCTGGCGGACCGCTGTCTTGGACAATAAACATGACACAAAGGAGAAGCTGTTTTGGCATTCAAACTTCCCCGATATCTGTACTCGAGCAATCCACGTTTGTTTGCCAGATGTTTCTCACCTGAATTTTTTAGTTTCAAGGTGGGCCGAAGAATAGGATAAAAACGTTTTACCCGATGCTCCATGCCCTGAAGAGGATTCGAACCTCCGTCTTTCCGATATAATGCCAGCCGATCCCCTTATGAAGGCAGGATGATCTGCATTGATCTACCAAAGGCTGTTTGTATGCGTACGGCAACCAAGATTTGTCCGCATTCAAGAGCCCTGGTGGACCGTGGTCTTGCAAAAAAAGAGCCAGAAGGGAAGAAGAAAAAGAAGCCTATTCCACGACATTATGCCCAGGGGAGGATGCGAACCTCCGTCTTCCCCTTGTGTCATCCTTTTTGCAAGCGACCACAAGGCAGGGATGATCTAAATTGATCCACCAAGGCTTCTGTGTACTCATTTTATGCTGCTAATATTCCGCCGTACGAAGAGTTCGCGCCTTTGATCGAATCGACCACGAACCGTGGGATTCTGCCTCCTTTGGGGATCTTCCCTCGCAGTTACTCAAGGTCTGAAAGCAAGTCTTGTTTTTCGACTCGCAGACGGCTCTTCGGTTTTTTTTCTAGGTTCGGTTCTGTTTGTTCTTCTGGGCACCGGTTATCTGCACTGTGTGCCACTGGGCATTCCAAAGTCGCAAATTCCGTTGTAGTCTTGGTGACATTAGCGACCCAGGTGGTGAGTTTTTTGTGGAGAATTGCCAATAATTACGACCCCAAGCCCCTGCGCTTGCCCAGCAAATACCACGACGACCAGTCCACTTTCGCCGCGGACGCGACAGTTCAGAATGGTGCACCGTCGAGGACCACGACGGCGTCCTTATCGCCCGCATCGCCGATATTCTCAAGGGGGTTACCAGGGTCTAGGCGAAAAAATGAGACCCTAGGCAACGCAACTGAGGAGCACGCTCGCGTGAGGGTGAATGATGCAGGACAGAGCGAGAACATACGTGAATCCGGAAGTGTACGAAAGTATACCGTAGTTTTGGGAGATTTGGGAGACTTTCGTATACTTTGTATACTCCAGGTATTTTCTGTATACCCAGACGAAAACCATATTTTTTGTACACCTGATACACCTGGTAGACTTTCGTATACCTTGGGGGCTAATAAATCACGGCAAATAACGATCGGCCCGGGATTGCAGTGCTGTGTTTACGCGTTGTTTGCATCGTCTCTTTCCCTCCTCCCACCACCAGTGCTCCTGCCACAAACACCCGCCCAAGCTGAAATACCACCAAATGACATCGCTGCACGCCTTGTGCCCAACTATAGGATGTGGCGAGCTAATTCCCAAGCGGTTATGCTGTCAAGGCACTGTGGTCCCTGAGCATAAAGATCTATACTTTCAAACCGTACGTCTCGCTTATCCATACTTCGGCCCCTTCCGACCTTCTTCAGTGTGTGAACATTTTACGTGAGCCCCGCCACCATCCCCCGAACCATACGGACTCGTTCCCTCTGAGCCAGATCCGACAACGGCTACCCTTCGCCTCCACCTCCCGCTAAGCCCACCATCGATCCCGCCCTTCAAGCCCCATCATCCGCGTTTTATGCCGCCGCTGCCGCTGCCGCCCGCCGAATGACACGTCGAAGCGTCAATGCGTCAAAAGTTTTCGACAATGTAAAAAGCTGGCGACCGCGAAAAACTGCACAAACCACCTGTGTAAGCCATGTATTCGAGCTGCCCTTACATGAGCCTTGAACGTAAACTTGTGAGTAGGCTGTTTCGATGTACATATTGCCGTATGGGTTGTGTAACATTTCAACTGCACTTTGTCTACTCGCCATTACATCTTCGCATAGTCTGTCCATGTATGGGGCAATACCGGTGCTTGTCGCGCACTCCTTGGAAAGCGAGGCACGGTATTCAAAATTGAACAGTTGAGCTTTAGAGTTAGACTGACGTGGTCAGACTAGGCCTCCTTCGAGGCGAGCGGTAGCAAAGCAATTGAGAGGGAGCTGATGTTTGGTAAGAGGGCCTCTGATACGACTGCAGATGAGGAGACGCGTCGCGTCTGAGGGGGTAAAAAAAAGAGACGCGCCGTGGCGTGATGGTCACGCCTGTGATCTTTGTGCTTGCCTTGCAATGGCAATGGGGACAAACACAAGATGATCTGCGTTCGAAAGTCTACAGGATATATGTCCAGTCATATATCAGGTAAGCAAATCTAGGTATACGGGCGGTATACCGGGAGTATCCGAAAGTATACGAGGTATACATGATCTATCAAATATTCATATAACCTGTATACTTCCGGGCTCACGTTCTTTCTGGACAGAGCAGAGCGATAAAGAATTTAGTAAGATACAAACGATGAAGTAAAAAAATACAGAGATTTAAATTAATCGTCGATAGAGAGAAAATTGGCGTCAATGGGGGAGGGCCGTGAGGGGCCGCAAATTCGCGAATTCGCGAATGTGTGCGTCCCAAGTACGAGTGATTGCAAGAGAAAGGATTTCTCGAGCCGACGCCAGTAGATGAGGACGCAAAGAGAACTCCATAATGATTTCAGGCACGATGCCGCCGGAAAACGGCGGACAACAGCGATAACTGTACATGTGGCCGAAGATTAATTCGAGCTGCGGGGACCTGAAGACGGCGGAGGAGGATCGCAAGAAAGTGTCCTTGGGAAGTTGATGTCATCCCGAAGGAGAATGGACCGCAAAGAGAAGGGTGTCCGGCGGGGAAGAATGATTGATGCACTCGTGATTGTCTCAAGCTCAGGCGGAATAGAGCCTGAGAGAAGCGTCGTCGCCGACGAGAGCGGCGAGGAAGCAGTCGCCGCCCACCGTCGTTGTAGTCTTGGCACAAACGAGATGGATGGAATTGTACGCACTTGCTGACCTCCGAGTGAGAAACACGTGTGGAAAGACAGGAGTCGCACAACGTCGAGAGCTCGGCGGCACTGCGGATGAATGTTTCCACCGGGGGACAGCATGCCCATTGCCGAGAGAGGCTCTGACCACGCGGCCGCGCTGTATGGAAAGCAGAGGTCGGGGTAGACGCGGAATCGTGGAGGTGGCAGTGGGTGGGGAGGATGACGGGCGCTTGAACGCGATGCTGCCCTTGTCTGGACTTCTTGAGCGCCGCCCTGGTCACCATGTCAAGGTATGTCGTTGTATAGGTGCCAGTGGCCACAGTCGCAAGCCGTTGAGCCAATTTCGGATACATTTGCCCGTGCATGTACCGATGGTCGCGGCGACGAACGCAGAGAGGAGGAAACGATCGGCAGGCATGGCGCGGACTCTGCGATGGCCTCGCGGTCGCAGCATTGATGGAAGCCCAGAAGGCCCGCACCGTACAACTTTCGCGTCTCCGGGACGTGCGTGAGCAGCAATTTTTGAAGATGCGCAGCTGCGGGTCGAGCGCGATGCCCAAGTCAGAATGCGTGGCGAAGGAGTATGGCGCCGTGCACAGTAGAGCACGGCGATCCAACCACGCATGACGTTGCACTGCGCTGCACGACGGCGGTTTTGGCGGGAGGGACAGCGCGGCCGCCCGGCGGACGTCGAGGAGGTCAGAATCGCGGGACGCCGAAGAGATGTGCTCGTATCCGTCCATAACTAGCGCGAGCAGAGTGGCGGCGTTCGAGATGTGATGGAGGTGACAAGGTGCGCGGCGCCAGTGCGTCGATATACGAATAGATCAAATGGCATGCGACGCACGGCGAGGGCGTAGTCCATAGGGAACACACTGTGTATCCGTCAGTTTAGAGATGAGATGAACGCGGATACGACGACGATCGATCGTCTGCCGCGGAGAGGCGGAGCAGCGAGCTTAACGCGGTTCGGCGGCGAGGGCCGCGAGGTCAGCCGGAATATGAAGCACTGTAATACCATTCGGGCGCGGTGGAGCTTGAAGGGAAGTCGGACGACGGTGACTCGGACCGAAGCGCCGCGGCCCGTCTTCCCTGTATCATATCACCTCAAGGATCATGATGACCGAATGATCTACATCGATCTACCAGAGCTTTGGTATGTCTGCGTTTATCATGGTTTCGTGAGAAGAAATGAACCAGAGAGGATTTTTTCCCTGCTTGGATCTTGCAAATTTCGAAGGGTTGCTCGGTTTTAATTTGAACTTGGTTTGATATTAGAATTGCCGCTATGTTGTATTATGCTGCTCTTATCCAGTACCATGGCTCAGAAATAAACTAGAAAGAAACAAAAACATCTCCTCTGGCGTCCTTGCCCTGGGGAGGATTTGAACCTCCGTCTTCCCGATATAATGCCATCGGCTTGACGCCTAATATGAAGGCAGGATGATCTGCACTGATCCACTTTTTGTATGCGTATTCCAACCAAGGCTTGTCTGCATACAAAAAGCCCTGGTGGACCGTTCTCTTGCACAAAAAGATCCAGACGGAGAAATAGAAAGAATGCAAAAACCCTTTTATGCCCTGTGGAGGATTTGAACCTCCGTCCTCCCTGTATCATTAACGCTTCAAGGATCATGATGAGAGCATGATCCACATTGATCTACCAGAGCTTTATTATGGCTCCTTCCTCCATGATTTTGTGAGAACTAGTAAATATTTTGTTCTCTGGTTCAGATCTCGCAAATTTGGAAAGAGCTGCTTGGTATTTGAATTCAATATGCATGTTGCATTGTGCGGCTCTTATCCGGTACCGTAGCTGAGCAACAAGCGAGAAAGAAACAAAAACAAGCGCTTTCGCTCCAGTTCAGGCCCTGGGGAGGATTCGTAACTCCGTCTTCCCACACTCCTGGAAGGCCATGAAGGCGGGTTGATCTGCATTGATCTACCAAGGCTTTTGTATACGTACGCCAACCAATATTTATCCGCATAAAAAAGCCCTTATCTTGTACAAAAAGAGCCAGAAGGGAAGAAGAAAATCATTAGATTGGCATCACGCTCTGGGGAGGATTCGAGCCTCCGTCTTCCCTGTATCCTTCAATAGTGCCTCAAAGATCATGATGAATGGATGATCTATATTGATCTACCAGAGCTTTGGTATATCTGTTTTTACCGCGGTTTTGTGAGATGAAATGAACCGGAGAGGATTCGTTCCCTGGTTTGATCTTGCAAATTTTGGAGGAATTGCTCGGTATTTGAATTTAATTTGCATGTTGCGCCTGTGTTGCACTTATCTGGTGCCGTAGCCAAGAAATAGTAGGCCAAAAACAATACAAAAGAATAAACAGATGATCATGCCCTGGGGAGGATTCGAACCTCTGTCTTCCCGATATAACACTTTATTGTTGTGCTTTCATGAAGGCGGGATGATCTGCATTGATCTACCAGAGCTTTAGTATGCGTACGCCAACCAATATTTGTCCACATACAAAAGCTCTTGTCTTGTACAAAAAGAGCCAGAAGGGAGGAAAAACTTTAGATCTGCATCCACACCCTGGGGAGGATTCGAACCTCCGTCTTCCCTGTATCAATCACCAATTCGTATACGATGTAATGATGAAGGGATGACCTACATTAATCTACCAGAGCTTGAGTATGGCTGCTTTTACTACAGCTTTGTGAGATAAAATGAACCAGAGAGGATTTGTTCCCTGGTTTGATCTTGCAAAATTTTAAGAGTTGTTCGGTATTTGAGTCTAAATTGGCATGTTCCATGAGGTTGCTCTTATCCAGTACTACGACTGAGAAATAAGCCGGAAATAAAACAAAAATATCCAAGACTACGGGATTCATGCCATGGGGAGGATTCGAACCTCATTCTTCCTTATATAACGCGCTTTCTCGGTTGTCATTAATGAAGGCGGGATGATCTGCATTGATCTACCAAGGCTTTTGGTATGTGTACTCCAACCAAGATTTATCCGCATGAAAAAACCATGGGGGACCGTTGTCTTGCACTATAAATATGACGCAAAGGAGAAGTTGCACGAAAGATGTTTTGGCGTTCGAACCTCCCCGACACCTTTGCTGTAGCAATCTACGTCTGCTTAACCGATGTCTCTCGCTTGAATGTCTGATATGCGAGGTAGGCAGAAGAAAAGAATAAAAAAGGTCTTCGCCAACCCCCTTAGACTATGTCCTGGAGGGGATTCGAACCTCCGTCTTCCCCTTGCTCCATTCTCTTCACACGCCACGAGGCAGGGACGACCTTAATTGATCCACCAAGGCTTCTGTGTACACGTTTTATCCTGATAATATTTGGTCGTCTTTCTGAGCTCACAATGTTGAACACGCTCCTTTGATCACAAACCGTGGGACTCCGAGAGAAGGATGACTGACTAATTGCCGGATCCGTCCGATTCTCCTTCGAGACTTTTCACTCAAGCTCTGAAAGCAAGTCTCGCCTTTCGGCTCGCAAGCGGTTCTTCGTTTTTGTTTTGGGTCTGGTTCTGGCTGCATTTCTCTTGCGTGTACCCATGAAAGTTTGTGCCACCTCCAGGCTCGTTGCGCAGTGACATCAGTGACTACCAGGACAATAGATCTCGAATGCTCGTATCCGACCTCATCCTGGCCTGGATTATCTCGTAACTTTCAGCGAAAATCCTCAGGATCTAACAATTCCTCGGTAGGACGTTCCTTCTCGGAGCTCCTCTCTGAATTCCTCTCTGTCTCTCCAGGAGTTTCGCATCATGACCTAGTATCCAGATCTCAAGCGTCTCCTGAAATGTTGCCCCAAGCTCAACCAGGTACGATAGCCTCAGCGCACATCCTTCGTCTTCTATCTCACTGAAGCCTCAGAACAAAAGCAACACCAAAACGGTGAGCACCACCACCACCGATTCCCGCGCGCGCGCTCACGCTCGCCTGTGAAATCCCCGCCAAGTAGCCCGGAGCTGCACTGCAAGAAATTCTCCTTGTCCATCTCTTCCCGACCATCTCCGGGGTAGACCTCAAGTCAAGCGCAGACCCCCTCTCGGGCACCAACTCCCTCTCGTCGCCGTCCCGAATTAGACGAGGCACCATTATGTCCCGGCGTCCCCCTCGCCTGTCTACGGGTGCGGGTGATGTGCGAATGCAATGAGCATGCGCATACCTGCAGGAAGAGGTGAGGTTTATGGCTCGTGTATCCTTTTAATGTTCTGACGTGCCGCAGTACACCGTCCACGGCGAAAGTGCGCACACCCGACCCTGAAGGCAATGAATAACCGGGGATAATCTTGGGCTATATGGTGTGTGTACTCAGCGACTTATGCTACGTACTTACATATCTCCCTCTACCGTTCTCGACCCAGACCTGCATATTTTGTCAGAGAATGCGGCAATGGATCGTCTCCCCGCGGCCGTGCTCTCTCTACAGTTCCCTCTAGCTCAAGACACCGTACCTCGGCGCTCGGACGTCTCATCGCTGTCTCTCTGTTCTGTACAGAGTAGCCGACCTGAAGAAGCGGAACACGGCCCTCAGCTGTAGCATCGCGGACGTGAGGACCGCCGTCCCTTCATAGAGGGAATACCGCGCTGTCGTGCCGCACCGATATCAGCTGCTGAAGCGTGCCAGCGGTCGAGCTGCGCGCGGGAGGCATACTAGCCGCCTCAGATGCATCTCCCGCTCTCGAAACGCCATCTATGCTCGTGCTCCGGGTGCCACGTCACACCTGGACTGCCCGCACCACGAGCGCACTAGCCACACGCCCTTGTCATTTCCGCATTCTGTCCTCCCGCCCTCGTCCGCATCGGCGAGCCAGCGCGATACTCGAGCTATGTGAAGCGGCGCCAGCCCTGCGCCCCTGGATATCCACAGCGCGCTGCGATTCCCGACCGCCTGCGCTCGCGATGCCAGAGGCACCCCCAGCCCACTCAGCCCAGGGCAGCTACGGAGTCCCCACGAACGAGGCTCGCTGCACTTCACGGATACACTGCCCCTCCCCATCCCCGGAGTGCACGCGGCGTACGAGGGGAGCTGGTGCAGCCGCGACTGCGGCGTGGCAATGCCTGAGGCGCTCCCCTCTTGCCTTCGTGGGTATCCTGCTATCGGCGAGCTAGCGCGACACCCGAGCTATGTGAGGCGGCGCCAGCCCTGCGCCGCTGGATATCTGCAGTGCGCTACTATTCGCGGATGCACCGACCGCCTGCGCTTGTATCCCTGAGGCACCACCAGCGCGCTGAGCGCGGTGCTGCTACAGAGTCCCCACGAACGATGGTATCCCAGGCTCGCTCTACCCCCATCCCCGGAGTGCACGCGGCGTACGAAGGGAGCTGGTGCAGCCGCGACTGTGGCGTCGCAATGCCTGAGGCGCCCTCGGCGCGCTGAGCGCTGTGGAGCTACAGAGCCCCTGCGAACGCCGCATCCAAGGCTCGCTTCACTTCGTAGATTCCCTGCCTATCCTCGAAGCCGCGTGCACGACGTATGTAGCCGCGACCGCGGTGTCTGCATGGGGCCGAAACTGCCAGGGCCGCCCATCGTTGTGGAGTACGAGACCACGCACGCCAGTGGCGTGATGGTGATGCGCTCTGGTATAAGAGTGGTTGTTGCCCGCGTGCAGGACATGGCTGGATAGGCGCAATCCGGCCGCGCCATGCCGCCCTTCCGCAGTCGTATCCTACTTAGCGGCGCTCACGCTCACTGTATGTCTGCACTTTACTTTCTGCGCCTTGGGCCCGTGTTCTGAGCTCAAAAGCCTCGCACAGCAGTTTGTGTTCCCCTGCCTGCGCTCCTCGCCCTGTGCGCCACCTCGCGCCCCCGCCGGCGCCTTTCGAGCACAGAGAAAGGTGCTCCTGCATCGTTCTTTGCGAAGTTTTCCCTTTGCTTGACACCACATGATCACATCCCCTGCACGCTCCGCTTTATCCCTTTGATTGCCGCCAACGCCTCGTTGTCTTCGGCATCACTCTCTGCCTTGCGTCGCCGAATTCGCGTGCCTCGCTGTGGAGGCGTGTGGGGGCACGGCTTTGCTTAATCGCACCGTTTTCACCACGCCGATTTCGTCCACCTGGCTCCACCTGACGGCAACGTCCGAGCTGCACCCGTTCCGCAGGCTCACATTTGTGTGCCCAGCGCCGCGTGTGCAGCTAGATTGTCGGAGTATGCCGCGCCAGAGGCGAGGATACGGCTGCTATGTACGTACTGTCTCGGTTTACGTTGACCCTGCGGCAAGCGCGCCCATGCGTACCGCGACTCTGGTCTCTCTTGGTTCGGCGATGTCGGATATACTGCTTCTAACTCCGCTTATAGACTTGCAGACCCTATATTTTGGAAGCATCTAGATCCACGCCAACGGCCGCTGCTCCTTTGCTGGCCGTCCCATCCATCCGGCATTTCAGTCAAGTAGGCGCCCAGCGGCTCTTTCGGGACGTTTTCATGCTGGTGTTGCTTGTACTCACGCAAACCGCTCCTTATCGCCATTCGCCCATGAATAGCTCCTGCCTGCCTGCATTCACGTCGCAATGCCCTCACATTAGTCGTAAACGGACGCTACGACGGAGGCGCTTGTACCCTGTATGTATGTATCGCTTTCAAACGACTAATTGCTCGAGCCACACTGCAGCACATTCTGAGGCGAGCGACGAAAAAAAAAAAAAAGCTCAAACATCTCGGCCGAAAACCGGCGTGCCTCACCTTGCTGACGCATCTTGTCTCGGACAATGCCGTACACATCGTTCTTTCGGTGTCAATTGGAAATTCTACACCTGGCACCCCCGTGCCCTTCAGCGCGCACGCGATGGCCGTTCCTTTGCCACACTACTTAGTTCTAACACCAGACCCATATACATTCGAGACTGCGAATTCAGCCCCATTCCAACTATGACCACTGCTATGGAGCACATCGACAGCCCAAATCTGAGCGGCGCAAGAGATATATTCGCGCTCATTATTGGCATCGATAAGGTGGTTCCGTCCTCCCTAATGGCCTTATCAGTGCTAATTACGGCCGGCTAGTATGATGCTGGGGAGAAAAACGGACTACCCCCACTGCAAGGGGCTGTCAATGATGCAACGGAATTCAAGAATTTCCTCCTGGACAAGGACGAGGGACTCGGTGTCCCGCCTTCTCGGATCAAATTTCTTCAGAATAGGCAGGCAACTCGCGCGGAGATACTCTCACAATTTCAATCCCACTTCTTACACAATCCAGCGATACCCGACCACGGAAATACCGCAATGATCTTCTTCTTCGCCGGGCATGGATCGCGCATCTCGATGCGAGAAAATAATATCTCGTCTGACAACATGGTCGAAGCCATCTGTCCCGTCGACGAGAGAACCGTGTGCAAAGAGTCTGGCTACGTACATGCGATTCCTGACTATGTCCTTGGGCGGTTGCTGCGAATGCTAGCCACAAAGAAGGGGGACAACATTGTAAGCACGTTATATAACTGTATTCTGTTTCCGCTAGTTAATGCCACCTCAGACAGTCATCCTTGACTCTTGCCACTCGGCGGGCATGGCAAGAGACGGCGGGAGTTCCCTGGGGAGTTGTCGTGGTACCACTAGCGATTCCCGCTTTCTTTCAGAATCCCTCGACAATTATTTGTGGGAGGGCGAGTGCGCCGAAAAGCCCGGTAGCATTTGGACCTCCTCGTCGGCTTCTCAC